TTGTCATATCTTACACTGTCCAATGTCTCCCTTCACCCACTTTTCTGTTGTCTGTCCCCCAGGGAGGAGGTTATATGTAGATCCTTATAGTCGGTAAGAAGTAAAATTTAATGTAAACAATTATATGGAAATGAAAACAAATCTTGAAAATGTCTCTCTTTGTCTAGATGGCTTTCTTAGATCATAGAGGTCTGCGGCATTCAAATGCAAAAGTACGCAGTAGAACTGCTTACTTGTTTTCTAGATTTGTCAAATCGCTCAAGTAAGTATTTTGTTCATTTGTTTCTATTCAGGTTAAGTTGACATATCATTTATTTTCCAAGCATGTATAGTTAATACATTTGATTCTTTCTATCCTAAGGCTTTTTAAAGTAGGCAATCCTTTTTTGTGTCATTGTATGTTATGACTTAATTGTCTGCTCATTAGTCAGTTACTTTTATTCATCACTCACAAGTGGTTTCTTGCATCTTTGTGTAGAATCTGTCACCATTAGCCACATTCGTTATTAAATAAAGTAGCAGTTTTCTTTTTTGTTTTGTTTGTTTGTAAATCAGTTGTATATGGTTACCTCTTTAAATTATAAAGAACATGTCATTGATGATGCATTTTAAAACCAAATCCATTTTGTATTCTTTATTAGTGTGCTTTTTCGTTATGAAACTGCTTGTTTTTAAGATTGTAAATTGCCTTTTCAATCTACCACTGACAGAGCAGACAGACATAATTTTTTTCAAGAAGTGTTTTTAAATCATAACTATATAATCAGCATAGAGCAAAACTTCTTTTTAGAATTTTGAAGTTCTTATTCAGCATAGAGCAAAACTTCTTTTTAGAATTTTGAAGTTCTTATCTACTAATTATGTTTTTCCATTTTTGTCTTTCTTCAGTAAACAAATGAATCCTTTTATTGAAGATATTTTAAATAGAATACAAGATTTATTAGAGCTTTCTCCACCTGTAAGTATCTTTTTCTAGGGTATAAATTTTCTCCAAATATGCCATCATCTTCACTGTTTTTTGTTGCCTCTCTTGGTTTCATTAGTTTTAAACCCTTAAAAAAAAAAACCTTCAAATGAACAAGGGTTAGGTTCTGTTTACCAGCATATCTGTTGGGCAAGTAAAACAGTAATAGAAATAAAAAGGAATTTAGAGTTGACTGGTTAATTTGATGGCAGGAGCTATGGTATATGCTCCCTGTGTAATATTAAATGATAGTGAAGTATTTTATGGAGAACGAAAAAGTTAATTTCTGAATTATCCCCAGTTTAATCCTATTAACCATTAGATTGAACTAATTCTGTGTAGTTTCAAGTGTGGGATAAAAAAAAATTAATCTTGCTTGATTTGAATGTAGTCTCCATATCACCAGAAAGAGTTTAGTTGAAATACATTTTAAGTACATTTTTATTTACACCTGCTTTTGTGTAAATACTAATATTGTCCTAATTTTTTTCTTAATGTTGTAAGTTATCACTGTGGCTGTCACTTGAAAGTATTAAAAATAAATACAAAATAATCATGCTTTGTTCCTTTTATTTAAGCTCAGTATTTTTAGGATATGAGCTATATAAATATATATATATATTTTACTGTGTGACAAGTTACCAGTGAATTGTGTGGTTAATTATCTTTGCATTAACTGACTAATGACAGTTTTCCTTGCAAATTCACACTGACCAATAAAATTTAGGTATTCAGAAAGCCATATAGACCTCAGATTTAGAATCAGTTTTGTTGTTTTGATATGGTAAGTATAAGCACTTGTACCACAATTGATCCAGTCAGCTGTTGATGGGCATTTAGGTTTCCATCATTTTGTTATTTTGAGTAGCGCTGCAATGAAGAAATGTGTGCACATGTTTATTTGTGTCACTTTTCATGTATGGGGAGAATATATATGAGGGTGCTTCAGAAAGTTCGTGGAAACATGGTAATGCCTCTTCATTCCATTTTTCCACAAACTTTGAAGCCCCTTTGTACCGAGGAGTGGAGTTGCAAGATCTAATTAATTACAGTTGCTGTCTAATCAGTCATTTAAAATAAACCCTTTAAGGACCTATCTGTGTGTAGTGTAAGACTACTTTTATTTACTCCCTGTGTTCTAGGAGCTAAGAAGTAAAATTTAATATAATTTCTGTTTATACTTCTGTTTCTAGCTTTTTGAGGAAGCACCGTACTGTTTCTTTTCAATTGCGATTGTACTATACTCTCTTAAAATGTTCTAAAGTAACAACTGGTGTGTGTGTGTGTGTCTGTGTGTGTGTGTGTCTAATTTTTGCTGTTACATTCTTAAACACTTTAAAGATAATTAGTATGGCTTATATACTACCATCCAATTTTTTTTTTTGTATATCTCATTTTAAGCCTCGTAAGAGCCATGCAAACATAAGATTTGTACAAAATGAGTACATGGTAGGTTAATAATGATCTGATAAGAACTTTTGCAGTTTGTCAGAGCCAGATTTTAAAACAATTGGTTTTTTTTTTAACTGTAATCCAATTAATTAATATTATATGTTGCTGGGAGACAATAAAGAGTTGATGTGATAGGTTACATCTCCTATCCCACTTGTATGTAATTATTTTGAGAGGAGCTGAAAGAAGGAAGGTTTCACGAAGGCTAAATGTCATTTTAGGAGAATGGTTACCAGTCCTTGTTGAGCAGTGATGATCAACTGTTTATCTATGAGACGGCTGGAGTGCTGGTTGTGAACAGTGAATACCCAGCAGAAAGGAAACAGGCATTAATGAGGAATCTCTTGACTCCACTGATGGAAAAATTTAAGATTCTGTTAGAAAAATTGATGCTGGCACAGGATGAAGAAAGGCAAGCATCTCTAGCAGATTGTCTTAACCATGCTGTTGGATTTGCCAGGTAAGCATGATTACAGGTAAAAATATAGTTTGTGTCCATGTACAGAACCAGTTATCTGAGTCTTTTAGAAATGGGGACAAATATCTAAAACCAAATTGTCCAGACACTTGTCAGCACCTTTCTTTATAAGTCATTGGCTTAGAAGCTTTAGCTGAGGAAGGAACTGGATCTTAATAACATTCTGCATTTCTGCCCTGACATCGATGCATTGCCCTGACATCTGCTGAATTCTTTGGTGTTAGCTAAAGCCATTACATACTGTGATAACTTAGCTAGGTCTTGTAGGCTTTTCTTTAGCTATTGCATTTTGTCCCAAAGACCACCCAAGTAGCCACTTTTCTCTCCACCCATGCTTTTTAGAGGCAAAAAATAAAAGCTTGAGTGAGCCAATTAGAAATTGTATAAATTGCTATATAGAATACTTCAGAGAAGGATTTAATTTGAACCCTTTGGTTTGGGGATTATAACCCTAAACAGTGGTTTAAAAAGAACCATATTAATTAAAGATGGTAGTAACCCTGAAATGGAACATGAGAGATTGGTTCGCTGGTCAATTTTGTACCCTTTTGTGCATTGTGTTTTATTCTTTAAATGTTAAAAAGATCCAATTATCGAGTCTTGTTTTGCTTTATATATATATATAGTCGAACCAGCAAAGCTTTCAGCAACAAGCAGACTGTGAAACAGTGCGGCTGTTCCGAAGTTTATCTGAACTGTTTACAGACATTCTTGCCAGCCCTCAGTTGTCCCTTACAAAAAGATGTCCTCAGAAGTGGAGTTCGCACTTTCCTTCATCGCATGATTATTTGCCTAGAGGAAGAAGTTCTTCCATTTATCCCATCTGCCTCAGAACACATGCTCAAAGATTGTGAAGCAAAAGACCTCCAGGAGTTCATTCCTCTTATCAACCAGATTACAGCCAAATTTAAGGTACCACAAACCTTTGAGCGGGCTTAAAGATCTCTTGACTAAACGAGCTTCTCTGATCTTAGATGCATTCATCTTTGGATATATTTTGGTATTCCACCACCCACCCTTTGGTTTATTTTTCAAAGAGATTTTCTTTAGGGCATGGATCCATTTGTATGTATTTTTCTGTATAAATGGATCCATTTGTATGTATGTATTTCATCCCTAGGATCTTGTACATTGACATTTAAGACATGCTTAAAAGACCTTACCTGTACATCAGACGAAAACTAGTGTTATTTTAGGGGGGGATATCATGGAAGGGAAAAAATGTCTGAAGAGAGAAAAACAGAACACTGTGATATGAATGCTTGGGTAAGAATGTAGAAGTATTAATTCAGTGTACTAAAGCTAGTTAAATATAAGCAAGGAAATTTAAGCCAGGTATAAGCTAGCTAATAAAAAGTGGCTAACACTTGCATAGTCATTTTATATTCAAGATATGCACTAAGCAGTTTTTTGTATATTGGATCTTCATCAAACCACCTTGTTGCTATGTGTTATTGATTGTGACTCAGAGCAACCCAGTAGGGCAGAGTAGCAGTGCCCACGGGGATTTCTGAGGCTGTCACTCTTTATGGAAGCAGACAGCCATATGCCACATCTTTTACCACCAGGGTTCCTCATAACAACCCTAGGAAGTAGAAAACTGGAGAGAAGTTAGGGAATTTGTCCTAGGGCATATAACACCTGAGAACTCAATCATGTATTAATTTAGCGATAGAAATCACATGAGGGGGTTAAAGGAAAATTTTCATTATCTTTCAATTCCATTATCTGTTATGTCACAAACTTTTTGAAGCCTGCTTATATTTTAATATAACCCATGGTGATATTCCATCATAAAATGTGAATTCATTGTCACCTGCTGAACCTTAAACTGTAGGAAATGGGTTGAACACAGTGAACCTTTCAATAATGTATAGCTTGGTAAGTTTGCCTTAACCTTGATTATTTAGTTAACTGAATTGTGGAGATATATGTATGTATATACACACATACATGCATATACACACTGTATGAAGATATATGCTACCTATATAATTTATAAGTTTTAAAAAAATCTTCTAAACTCATTTCTAAAGTAATAATCATTGTTTTAATCTTTAGATACAGGTATCCCCATTTTTACAACAGATGTTCATGCCTCTACTTCATGCAATTTTTGAAGTGTTGCTCAGACCAGCAGAAGAAAACGACCAGTCTGCTGCTTTAGAGAAGCAAATGTTGAGGCGGAGCTACTTTGCTTTCCTACAAACCGTCACAGGCAGTGGGATGAGTGAAGTCATTGCAAATCAAGGTAGGAAGGATGGGTGCATCGCTGTTGGCCCCCTGAGGACAACTCCTTATTATTAGCATTTGGGTCCATTCCTTTTTGCCTTTGGCAATATCTTTTCGTTTTATTTATTTTTTTAAACATTTTATTAGGGGCTCATACAATTGTTATCACAATCCATACACACATCAATTGTGTAAAGCACATTTGTACATCATTCTCAAAACATTTTCTCTCCACTTAAACCCCCGACATTAGGTCCTCA